TATGTGGTTATATGCATCTATTCTATATATGCCCTACTCAGAGATTTTTACTGTTGTTTCTAAGTCTGAGTTACTCATCTGTAAAATAGGGCAATCGTATTAACTACCTCATAGTGTTGCTATGAGAACTAAATAAATTAATTCGAAATGCTCATTAAAAAAATTGTCAGCATGTACAGTCAATTATCTTCTGGTTAGTTGTCACAAGAGAAAAAAAATCCCTACTGTGTTTATTTAAGGAATGAACTCCTATAAGAAAATGGATTTTGGCTGTAATGTCTCGTTACAAATTTAAAAAAGAGCCATACCATTTGACCCCGTTAAATTTCTTACCATTGATCTGCAGCAAATTGGAAGAGTTGGAATTATTCCCTAAACTCTCATGACGTAATTCAAAAAAGGGAAGAAATATCAAATTTGTTACTACCTACAATAAAAATCTGAAACTTTCCTATTCTATCAGCATCATTAAGCCCGAATAAAAGATGTTCATTTTTTAACACGATATCCATTTCACTCAGTGTTTCTTAAGGAAAATGTGATTTCCTCTGTGGGCACCTTTTCCGTGAAACATATTAATCAAACGTCTTGTACTTAACCTTTTGTTGTTGGCCCTGACTGAAACTTGGCATCAATGTCGCCATTAACGTGTTTTAATTCAAATGGTCTCTCGGCTCCTTCATTGTTCAATTTTGGGGAAAGAGGTTGCTGATTTAGGAGCTTAGTTTCAGGGGCAGTAAATCTCTAAAGTCAAATATTCCATCAGCTAAAACTTAAAGGGTTTGGAGACCATTGTTCCTGTCAGTGCAAGGAGCCATTTGTTTAAAATCTCTGGTTTTAGACAACCAAGAGGCTAATTCTATTAATGCGTCTAGAACATAATTTTATTTATTTATTTGTTTTTATTTTTTGAGACAGAGTCTCAAGCTGTTGCCCTAGGTAGTGCGCTGTGGTGTCACAGCTCACAGCAACCTCAAAATCTTGGGCTTACGCGATTCTCTTGCCTCAGCCTCCCCAGGAGCTGGGACTACAGACACCTGCCACAACACCGGGTTATTTTGTTGTTGTTGCAGTTGCCATTGTTGTCTAGCCGGCCTGAGTTGGATTTGAACCCACCAGCCTCCGTGTATGTGGCGGGCGCCCTACCAACTGAGCTACGGGCGCCGCCAAGAACACAGTTTTAAAAAAAAGTGATCTCCTTGGGGGTCCGACTTAAAGGACCAGTAGCGCTGAGGGCTCCGTTTGCAAACTGCTCAGCTACCATCATTTTGCTTTCTACAATTAGACAGGAAAAGACAGTGATTTCGGTCTGAAGGGGGGACGCCTGGTGTCTGTAAACTGTGTAAAGAGAATCACAGCACTAGATTTTCTAAAGATGGCTCTTTAGTTGCAGATAACAAGATGTCTTTGCCAAGGAGATTTCTTTCCTCTCTTTGCTGTGACAACATCATATCACACAGCCAGGCTGTGGCTGTCTGCCTCCCTCCGCCAATCTTATTGCTGGGAAATCTTGTCCAAGTACAGACGGGTGAAGACGGGTATTGAGATCTAATTGTCACAGATCAGGCCCCTTTAGAAAACAGTTCAGAAACTGTGATGCACTGCCCTGTTGTACTCCCTGGATTTGTAGACTTTAGTGCTCACAGACCTCTGTACATCTGAAGTTCCATTTATAGGAAACACCAGGATTTGGTTATTTGGAATATGAGAGGAATGTGCTCTTGTGAAATTGTTTGCATTCATTCTCTACTAGAAACAAGAAATCAGCATGCTGACAGTTTATATTAAAAAAGAAAAATATATATCGCTCAATGTTCCAGCAAATTCTAAAGATTCAATGGGAGAAACTGTGTCAAAACCAGCTTCAAAACCCCCACATTGATCTGTTCAACTTTGGAGACCCGTGGAGGGCTGTTTCCCTCAGCCAGAACCCTTGGGAGGAATTCAGAATCGCAAAGATGAAACTATCCAAGGAGATGGTTGAAGGCCTTGGAGGGATGAGGGTCCCGGTTCCTCGAATCCTTGAGCTAGAAAGTTCAACTGGGGTTCGGGCCATAAGAGAAACCAAAAGTGAGTGGTTTTATCTAAAAATAAAACTGGAGCAGCACAGGCAGTCTGGAGAGAGAGTCAAAGTCACCTACACGGGATTGGGAGCAACAGAGAGATTTTATTTAGGAAGAAAGGGAAAGATGAGTGCCCTTCCCAGGAGGCTTGGAAGTGGGTCCCTCTCATCGAGGAGAAAAGAGAGATGGATGAAAAACTCGGAGAATCCTCCCTTTGAATCCACCTGCTCATCTTTCATTGGCCTCTCTGCCCCTCCCTCTATCACGCACTGATTCTTTCTGTAAGTCCCTGGTTACAGAGGTTACTTCACACCCACATTCCTATGGGCCCTCCAGACTTCCTCTAACTCCCCTTGAAGCCCTCTTTTTAGGGTCCCTCTTCAAAGGGACAGAGCGTTCATTACCGTCCTGTTTGAGAGGGTACAACCATTACCTTTTGCTAAGGAGGGAACAGGTGTGGTGTAAGAAAGGTCAGCAGTCTACCCCACATTGCAAACTCTCCCTGCAGAAACAGCATAAAGACAGACCGTTCTGCAAGAAATGAGGAAAGAAAACAGGTGAGTGAAGGAAGATGTGTTGAGGGCGGGATACTTCTGCTGGAGAATCTCAGCAGCCTGGGGAATCAATCCCATCTTTCATTAATAAGGGAAGAGAGCATATTGCCTTGTGATTACAGCAGGCAGGAAACCTTCCATTTTTAGCTATTGTGATAGGGACTTCTTTCTCCCAAAGAAAGTGTGAACTGCTCTATGAAACATTGAGCGATGGATGCAGGTGGTAGGGCACAAAACACTAATTAGTAACTGCTAATTCAATGAGGGGGTGGGTGGGTCATGTCTGAGCACCCCCACAGATCATAGCTCACCTCACACCACATCTCTCTCCACGTGGCTGGAGAGGATCACATTTGTAAGGGAAGCATTAAACGTGAGAACTTGGGGTGTAACGTTGCCTCTATTTAGATGTACAGCACACGGTGAGTCCCAGTTCAAGCTTAAATTTGTTTTTATTTATTTATTTATTTATTTGACCGGGGATGGGTTTGAAACGGCCACCTCCAGCATATGGGGCCAGCGCCCTACCCACTGAGCCACAGGGGCTGCCCAATTTGTTTTTATTTTTTTAGTCATTTCAGAACATGTAGTCATCCTGCTTTGAGGCAGACCTGTTCATTCCTGTCCCCCCTTCTGGCTTAGAGAGTGTACGTTTTTCCGCAGGTGCGCAGAAGAAGCCCGTGGAAGGAAGGGTAGTTGGCGAAATTGGTATGCGGAGTCCTGTCCTACTCTTTCGAGTTAAAAATGTGGGATCCAGCACACGTTGGAATGCTGTCAGCTCTGCTTAGGGGTGTGCTTTGAGGACTTGGTTTTCATTTACGTTCTCTTAGGGCTTAGATCAATGTGTCTTCCTGTAAACACGGTTGCAGGTGACTTTCAGGACACGAGATCGGCATTCATAGAAATGAAAGAATGACGTGGCCCTCGGGAGAAAAAAAGCACAAAAATGGATGAATATCACTGTTGGCTGTTTGGGGGGAGGCTCGGATAAGAACGTGAAATTGCTTCAAACGTTTTTAACACTTTTTTTTTCTCTCCGCTTTTCTTTTTGGAATATGCACTCAGTGCAGATTGGGACTTGAGTTTGGATGCAAGTGTGTGCCCCAAATTAAACTCGCAGGATGCCTCAGAAAGTGTTCATACTTTTGGGTCTGAGTAGGAGGGTGCCTATCTTCCCTCAAAACACTGGAGGAAAGCAGGTTTTTTTCCCCCTTTTTCCTTTTATCCAGGTCAAGCTATTTTGCAATGTAAGGAAATGAAAGGGATTAAGGGATCCGGTTTTCTACAGGAAAGAACCCAAATTGCCTTGTTGTAACTTGGAACAGGAAGCTGGAGAATTCTGCGCCTTGAACTAATCTAGAGCCTGAATTTATAGAGTCCTGCTTCTTTTTAAAACAAGGAAGCCCAGTTTAGTAGGTTCTGGGGAACGTTGGGGACATTTGAATATGCAGTGGCTTGTCACTGATGTTTTTGCTATGTACAGAAATTAAAAGTCTACGCTAGACTCTAAGAAGGAGATCTTATGATGCCTGCCACGTCCTTCCATATATAAACATTAAAAGGAGTAAAATTAAATTATTATAAACAAATCCAACGGGGAAATACAGACCTGTACTGTATTTGTGTAAATGCACAAACTCTCAGAAACAGACACCCCCAGGCACTTACACCCTCTCCATACCCACAAGCACTTCCTAAAAATGTCTGATAGCCCTAAAAAAATATCATCTTGCTGCATTTTGTCAAAGATAATGAAATGTGGGCTCGGGGCCTGTACCTCAGCGGCTAGGTTGCTGGCCACATATACTGGAGCTGGCGAGTTCGAACTCAGCCCGGGCCTGCTAAATAATGATGACAACTACAACCAAAAAATAGCTGGGCTTTGAGGCGGGTGCCCGTAGTCCCAGCTACTTGGGAGGCTGAGGCAAGACAATTGCTTGAGCCCAAGAGTTTGAGGTTGCTGTGAGCTGTGACGCCACAGCACTCTACTGAGGGCAATATAGTGAGTCTCTGTCTCAAAAAGAAAAAAATAAAATGTGCATAGGAGTGATACTTTGACTGTGATAGAATGTATACAGTCTCCTGGGGTTCCTCCATGTTATAAATGTTTTATATTAATTTTGCTTTGTCTGTGAGCCTGTACATATATTCCCAAAGATGACATATTTTTATCATAACATCAACGCAGACAACAGCCGTGATTTATACCATATAATTCTCTCCACCGCAGAAGATTTGTCTTCCTGGGTTTCCTCTAATGTATAGGGGGTGGGTAGGGGAAGAACAAAAGCAATTCAACCGCGAGACCTCTTTCCAATCAGCAGAGGCGTATATGTGCATCTTATAGCTGACACCTCCCCAAATATTCTGTGTTTTTTCACAGGCTTCTTAAGTACCGGCGACCAGGCAGCGAAAGGTAACTACGGACTTCTGGACCAGATCCAAGCTTTGCGGTGGATCGAGGAGAATGTCGGGGCCTTTGGTGGGGATCCCAAGAGAGTGACCATCTTTGGCTCCGGAGCTGGGGCGTCCTGTGTCAGCCTGCTGACCTTGTCACACTATTCAGAAGGTAACGAAGGTGTCCCCGGCGTGGGTGGGCTGAATCAGGCAATGAACAGTCAACCGAGTTTTCATTTCCAAGGTGCCTGGCCAGGGTGCCGGAATTCTCTCTTGAAAAGGCAAGAGAAATGCCCCATTGAGATGGCACAAACCCCTCTCCTCTGCCTTTATCTCAGCTTCCTTTCCACAGTTATACTATTTTATCTTCCCTGATATAAACTCATGACAACTAGACTTTGTGACCAGCTTGAACCAAGAGCAGAAACCGCCGTCTCTACTGAAAATAGGAAAAGTAGCCAGGCATTGTGCTGGGTGTCTGCAGCCCCAGCTACTCAAGAGGCCGAGGCAGGAGGGAGTATCACTTGAGCCCAAGACTTTGAGGTTGTTGTGAGCTATGATGCTACGGCACTTGAACTGTTGGGACCTGCCCCAAAGTATAAGAGTCTTCCCTTAAATACTTGTCTTACCCGCATCTACCCACAGTGACAGAGTGAGACTGTCTCCAAAAAATAAATAAATAAAATGAATAAAATTAATACATAAATAACTAAACTTACAACAATCAGATGTCAGGGATGATGATGACAGGTGTTCCGAGACCCCATACTCTTGTTTCTTTTGCCTTTGGGACTTTTTCTGGTCCACTGGAAATTTTATGAATTTAAACTTGGAAGGGTAATGTAAGAAAGAAACAGAGTGGACATCGGGTGCGGATTCACAGAAACAGAGTGGACATCGGGTGTGGATTCAAAGGCTTTATAGCAACATGGCTTTTAGCCGTATGCTGTCAAGAGTCAGTTGTCTGATTCATGGTCATTCCTTCCATCTTCTGGAAATGTTAATAACATGGTACATCTGTCTAGAAGTAGATACACAGCTCTCTCTCTCTCTCTCTCCATCTGTCTCTCCACCTCTCCCCCATCTCTCTCTCTCCATCTCTGTCTCTCCATCTCTCCCATCTCTCTCTCCACCTCTCCCCCATCTCTCTATCCCCATCTCCCTCCTTCCATCTCTCTCTCCCCATCTCTCCCTCCATCTCTCTCCCCATCTCTCCCCCATCTCTCT